ACGGGAGATTGTGGGATTGGTGGATTTATAATTTCTGGCTCCGAATCCGTGCCAGAGTCATCCCCTCCCTCCAACTCTATAGGCTCTTCGTCTTCTTCAGGATCTTCTTCGATCCACCCTCCATTACCTTGGTTGGGGTAGTAGGGGTCATTGGGGTGATGGAATCCCGCCATTTAGACTGTACGAGAATAGAGTTAAAAGTTTACTATAAGCTAGAGCACATGAAACTTACCTTAAGTTTAATGGTTGACGGCACTCGAATACTCCCTCAGTATTCTTTAGCGATATGCTTTTGGTAAGTTTTAAATTTGTTGTCCATTGCAGACACTCCTTGGCATACGTTAGTCGGCTCTTGGACAAATATAGTTGATCAGGCTATATTCTTCCCAGTTCCGATTACATGTCCCAAGGCGTACTTGTACTGCACAACTTATTTATAATACTTCTAAAGTTATTTACTATGAAAATGTTATTAGTATAAATGAGTGCATGCTTACCTTAAAACTAATTAGGTTTACTTTCAAAAGTATGAATTTTTCTCAGAGTGTTTTTGCCCAGTTGAGTTTATAGTTGTATATCAAAAAGGAATGGTTTTGATATACTTAATTCCCTATAAACAAAGCTCTGATACCAATCTGTCACACCCCCAAACCAGAACGGCGGAAACGTTCGGGGGCGGAGGACGTCATATTCAGTATCATAACAGTTCATAGAAAGGAAAGTACACACCACCATATATATTAAAGTTTCCAAGATGTTTACATAATTGTATTCATTACATGTTCAAAAGATAAATACATAAACATCATTCAAAAGAAGTAATTAACGCCAGCGCGTTAATCCCAAAAGTTGATTCCCAAACCTGCTTAGCGGTTCCCTGAGAATACAAGTTATTTCAAAGAAAAAGTGTCAACAATTAAGTTGGTGAGTTCATAAGTAGTTTAGAAAAATTGGATGCCATTCCAAAATGGGTGTATATTTTCCAGAAAACGCAGCATTTCAAATGTAAAGAGTTGTGATTTGTTTTGTTGAAAGTGAATGTATTAAATCCAGAAAATCCCATATTTTCCCTAATGGTTGAGATACGAGTTGTTGTGTTTCCCAAGAAAAACCCTTATTTTCTTATAAAAGTATGAAATGCATATGAATGTTCGTGTTATAAGTTGTAAATAATTGCACCAGGAAAATCCCTTATTTTCCTAACATAAATGGCAGTCTCTAAGACCAAAACTTTGCAAGAAACCGACGTTCAAAAGTTGTGTCATAGTTTTATATAATAAAGCTATACGAAGATCGCATTTGTTAGATGAAGAATAGCTTTAATAGCTACTCGTTCATAAAAGCATAATACCATAATAATTGTGTATCCGATGAGTTTTATAACCATACTAAACATAATATGCCTGTAACGACGTTCTTCAGGCGTCGCAGCGTTATGACAACTGTCACCCCAAAAGACGGACTGTAGCTAACAGTCAGGGCGCGGGATCATGACTTCCCGTATAGATCTATACACATTTGACACGTTCTCCGAACGGGAGACTCTGGTTATAGACAGGACTTGCAGCATTACTTTCTAATAAAGAAAAGTAACGTTTGAAGATATACACGTCTCATGGATTCTCAACTAAGTCGGTATTAAAGTGATAGTTTTGTATGCAAAGTTTATCCTTTTTCACAATGTTTGACAAAGCAAAATCATAAGTTTTTAGAATGTATAAAAAGACTTAACAATGAAAGGTACTTTGAAATCATTATATACTTTGTATAATGTCTAATGCACACAAAGTATGACAAGAGTTTTCCATAATAGAAATAAGTTCCAAGTGATTTATTCGATAAAACAAGTGAAGTAAAACTTTATAAAATACACGATAATAACCGTATGTTTACTTGTATCCCCCCCTAAAAGAGTATAAAAGCATTTAAATGTATTTAAAGTGTGTTTGAAAGGGGTATGAACTCACTTGAAAGTTTGAAGATAGCAAGATGGAAAACCGGGCAGAGTTTCGTCTCGGGAAATGGATTTTCCTCGGAAATCTCGGGATTCCTCGGGAGTAAAATCGACCTTCGGGACTTGCACAAAATGACCAGGGCTTCGGGGTAGTGCGAGCACGGAAAACGAGGTAAAACGCAAGCAAAAGGAGAGAGAATGGGCCATTTTCCCGGGAACCCTCGCATGCTATTTATAGGGGGCCTGAGAGGCCTCGTACGCGGGGCGTACGCTCGTACGCAGCGCGTACGCGTACGTCATGCGTGACCGAAGCCTCGACTGCCTCGGCCTCGGATGGGACGGCTCAGGCTGTCGGGTCGGATGGGACGGCGGGTCGGACGGGCGGGTCGGGTGCCTCGCATAGGGCGACGTGGACGGTTTGAGGCCAAGTTCCTCAGGTACGCGGGGCGTACAGGGGTACGCAGTGCGTACCTCGGATGAGGACGCTGACTCCCCTTCGGATAATACCGAAGTTTTAATAAAAATTATATATAAATTATTTATCAAACTTCGAAAATTCATATCTCCTTCATACGAACTCCGTTTTTGACGTTCTTTATATCCTCGCGAAGGTGAGACTACGATCTACAACTTTCATTTAGATTCCGTTGGCAAATTCCGGAATTATTTTTATTATTTATTTATTAAAATGACGTGATTAAGGAATTTCTTTAAAAATTCATAACTTATTCATACGATGTCCGATTTGAGCGTTCTTTTTATGCATGTTTGTAGTTTAACGATATCTACGACTTTCATTTAGACACCTAAGGTCGGAAAGTGTTTTATTGAAACTTTGCGTTTTTACGCAACTTCGTATTGTCGGTTTTTGTCGGAAAACTTAGAATGATCATAACTTCTTCGTTATAACTCGGATTTTTGTGTTATTTATATGTTTGGAAACCTTAAGACGATAACTACCACATAGTGTACTCCAAATAGAGTTTTTGAATACTTCATTTTTCGATGATATTCTAATTCTTTTCTCAAAGAGGTTACATGACTCGATTTTTACTGACTTGAAATAACGGGTTGTTACATTGGTCCATCTATAACAGAGGTACATTCGATTCGAAAACCAATCTTTTTCATCCTAAACTTCTTTACACCATTCACACACAATGACGTATGTCCAAGAGATTGTTGATCAAACCAATTGCAATCTAGACATACAAATACTCTGTGTTTATGATCTAACATCATGAGTCCGTGATGGAAGTGAAACCCTAAAAACCAACAAATCAAGGAATTGACGGGGAACTATGTTCTAGAACTTACGAAACCTTTGTTTCAGTACCTTTTATACTCAAAATCGTATTCAATCTTTTTGAGTGATCTTCATCAGGCATTCGAAACCTACGATGTTTGTTCCCAATAAGATCCAGCATAATATTTTTTCTTGAATATGATTTCTGTGTGAGTATATTTTGAAAAGCCTTGTTACTTTACATATCATTCGAAACCAAGTTGTCACTGACTACACTGGTCATACAAATAATTTTGCTTACAATTTATCACCTTATGTTAAGGTCAAAATGTAATGAAATTTTTGAAGCCACCCATTTGACTTATAAAAGAAACCCTTCGAAACTTCTCTACAAGTTATCGATTGTAATTCACGGGAAACCAAGCAAGCTGTTAATTATCTCTCTTGATAATTTTCGAAAAAATCTTTGCCCGAGATTAAACTGTTTTTGTGTCAACATAAATTTTTGACATCACAAGTTTTCAAATTTTTTTTTTCATTTGTTTATCATCTAATTTTTTTTTGGAACACAACACACACGAAATCCTTGAGGTTTGAGTAAAACCAACTTAAACTGATGATTTCGAAACTCTGGCATATGACTTCGCTTTTTAAACCTCAAAAGTGAAAGAGCCTGACCTCTATTCCGAAGGAATCCGACGGTTACAATTCTCTTGGGGAATATCAAACAGTCTTGTCTCTTGGTGACGTATGGTATACAATAAGCGTATAAGGCGTGCTGACAATTACGTTTGTTACTTTTTGATGAGTGAAGTCTGTATTTCAAGGTGCCATGTCAGCAAGCATTTAATGCAGCTTCATATTTAAAATTCTAAGGTTACATATAAAAGGGGAACTCAAGAGTCAATAATATTTTATGCGATCAAACATTCTCTATCATACAAAATTCTCTCTGCAACTCATCTCTTCAAACAATCATCTTCTTCAAACATTCTCTGTTCTTATCTTCAACAATGGCGACTACATCATCACCAACCACAGACGAAGTTGTTAGCGTTCCGATTCTGAAAATCCACGGTTCAAACTACCACGTGGAATCTGATTTGTCAAAATATCCGGAGGAACTCCAAATGCTGGTGGTTGCTTTACAGAATTCAGTTCTGTCTAAAGCAATGTTCGATTCTTTTGCTGTTCCAGTGTCTTGGTTATCAAAGGCGGGTTCCACTGCATCATACAACAAGGAGACAGGTTGTGTGGAATTCACTATGGTGAATGATACGCGTATTAGGGTGTCCAAGCGTTTGTTTTGCAAAATTTTGGGGATTCCAAATTCTGGTCCTTATGATGAAGTTTCTTCTTCTCAAGTAGTATTCATGTTCAACGAGATGGACCATCAACCTCCTTTTGATGCGTATCAGTGACTTCAAGAAGTCTGGATTACCTATGGTATGGAATTTTTTATTTGACATTTTCCTTCGATGTCTTACTGGAAGAACCGTGGGTCTTGATAAAGGAAGGATGGAGGTATATGCAATGGTTGCTGGATTGTATTATGATTTGCAAGTGGATTACTCTGAACAATTGTGGACAGAGTTCTTAACTAGCATTTCAAAGACGAGTGCCAAGCAGGGGATTTCTTGTGCTCGTTATTGGAGTCTGATAATACAGTATGTTTACCACAAGGAGAAAATCGAAGTTCCGGAGTTCAAAGAAAAGGCGGTGTTTCACATGTATGGTAATCCGAAGGAGGTAAATGATGATCCGGCTATCTTTACATCAATAGCTCGCATTCCAGATGCGATGCTCAAGAAGGTGGATCCGACGAATGAAGTTTTGGTGTCATATTTGCAATCCATTGACACAACTGTTGTTACAGGGGTGTTACATGAAGAAGAGAAGAAAAAGCCTAAGAAATCGAAGAAGATAGATGGTGGGTCTTCGGAAAAAGTGGTGAAGGCAGAAAAGAAGAAGAAAAATCCAGTGGTTACAGCTGATACTGTCGAAGAGGTATCTTCAATTTTAACCTCAGTGGTTGATACACCAATAATCGAAGCGTCTCCATCGACAGAAACGATTCCTTCGAAGACGGGTGTTTTTCGACATATCAAAATAAAGAGAAAGTCTCAGCTGGTGAAGAAAACACAAGTCACACATCAAGGGGTCACATTTCGGGAAATTCCAGCTCCGGTGTCTCCATCATCTAAGAAACGAAGGGCTGAAGATCTTGCAAATTTTTTGAAGAAGAATCAAATACTTGAAGAAGTCGAGCAAGTTCCTGAGACACTAGAGATTAAACTTCAAGAAGAAGCGAAGACCAGTCCGCCTGTTGGTCTATCGAAGGCTGCTGTTTCGAAGCCTCTTGAAATAAGTTCACTACCCCAGGTTACATCCACAACTAATTCTCCTACATTTCAGTTTATTATGGATCAACCATTCACCACCATATTCTCAACTCAATCAACTGATCCACCCCATCCATCCTCACCTATTGATGAAACCGTGGCTGCTGATGTTGAAACCGATAACGAAGGCTTTGGAGGAACGTTCGAAGCTCTTCATTTTGATCAAGCCGAAGAAGATTTCCCTGACCACATGCTGATGACCATGAAGCAGTTTAAGATTTTGAATTCGAAATTGAATTCTATCTTGCAATCCCAAGCAGATGTGGGCAGTGGTGGAGTTACAAGTATGGAAGTTGATTCATTAATGAAGGTGATGGAAGGAAGGGTGATTTCGAAGGCATCAGGGTTGATTAGGGATTTGGAGAGTCGAGTTCTTGAGAAGGTTGATCAGAATGATATTTCTACAGAGAATCGAATCAATTCTCTGAGATCTGATTTTGTGACGGAATTAAAGGATCTAAAGATTGTTACGAAGGAGCGTCATGTGCTCTTCGTACAAGAAGTCAAGAAGGTACGTGAAGATGTTAACTTGCAGATCCGAGAACTTCGTGAAGATATGACAAAGGAGGTTCAGACTGTTCAACAAGATTATGCGTCAGCAAATCAGAAGATTGACATTATTTGTGACGCTGTTGCAAAATGTGTAAAATTGTTTGAGCAGATGAATCCTTAACTGACCACTCTTTCTGCCAAAGAAGAACAAAATTTTGGAGAGTTGGTCAGGTTGTTGAAAGAACTCCAAGACTTGTCTTCGAAGTCTGTCTCTCCAATCGTTTCTCAAGAATTTCTTTCTCAAAAATTTTCTCACTTCGAAGCCATCCTACACAAAAACTTAGCTCCACTTCTTCGCATTTCCAGCCTTCTGCCGAATGTTACAGATGCCCCACCTGCTTTCACAGGGGTGCAAGGGGGAGAAAAGATTGATCAATCGAAGGCTGGGGAACAAATGAAGACAACTGAAGATGCGAAGGTAGTTGGAAAACATTATCCTTTGAAGGTGGTGACAAAACCAAGTGTTATTTCAGCAGGTCCAGTCACTTCGACTGTGATCACAACAATTCCACTTCCAAAACCAAGTTCGAAAGGTGTTGTGATTAGGAAGCAAGCTGATGTTTCTTCATCCGAAAAAATGGTTTTGTCAAGCGTCAAAGACAAGGGAAAAGGAATTTTGATTGAGAAGACTAACGGAGAGAAGAAAGCTGAGGTGGCAGCTGAGGTGGAAAGAATGAGACATGTACAGAGCATAATAAGACAAAGAGCTCTGGATGGTTCGAATGTTGATAAGGGTGATCCAACAAAAGTTTATAACTACGAAACCATCGAGTCCAGAGTGATGTTTGATTATATGTACTCATTCGAAAAGGTTCCGAAAAAGAGCTATGTGGTAACGAACACAGACTTTGGTCAACTTGACTTTCTAGTCAATGAAATGATGTTTGTTATGCCACAGTTCAAGGCTGAAACAAAATCAATGGAAACCGAAGAGGGAAAGAAGATGAAGATAAGGTTTCATGCAGTATTGGCGAAGGCTCAAGAGTAAGTATGGTTTTCGGAGAAAATTAAGAAGGTGATATCTATAAAAAGGGATGTCATATTCGAAGGGAAATTTGAAAATTTGAAGTACACTATAGCAAGAGCAAGTGGAAAGTTACAAGAATTCACAGTGGCAGACTTTCCTTTGATGAACACATATGATCTAATCAACATTGCTTTGATGCTCAAAGACAAATCATTTTCTTTTCTCCAAGACACAGAACCAGATGTTTTTAGCCGTGGGTGCAAGCACATTAAGATATTTTTGGAGAATTATTTTGAGTGCTTAGCTCAGACTGATGTCGAACTCGCAATTGTCAAAGGCATCGGCATTACTGCACCAATGGCTCCATCAAAGAAGCATAATGAGTTGAACAAATACGAAGATGGAGAAATTTGTTTAAAGCCATTGGGGATCGTTTTTGCAGGAAAAGACAAAGCTGGAAGAGCTAAGCGGTTCTTATTTCAAACTTGCGAAGTGGAGAGATACACCAACTCACAATATACGAACTTAATTGTTCGTATGAACCACTGCAAGAAGAACTCGGAAGGAGATAAGAAAGAGATAAAAAAATTATCTCTTGGTACATGGAGATCCGAAGAGTGCTGATGTATGCCGTTCAATCACTGACGACTTGAAGACTTCGACCTTGATTCCAAAGGGGGAGATTGTTAGGGCTTAAATGTTGTAATAGTCGAAGAGTCAGTTAGATTGTTACGAAGTATATTTTGTCTTCGTAAGAAGGAGTCTTCGGATGTAATGTTATTTGTACTAAGGCATTATAAAGAGTAGTCTTAATGTCTAGTCCTTAGTATGGGTATGCTTTTGTTCTCCTATAAATAGGGGTCTGTACTAAGTGATTAGAAATAACATTTCACTCAGTCTTTACAGTTTATTGATTGTAATCTGTAAACTCAAAAGCATAATACGGGCTGAACAAATATTCTATTTACTCTCGTATTCATCGTTATTACTCTTCCTGAATTCATACTTGAATTTGATTCAAACTCGATTACAAATCTCATCAATTCATAATTGAATATGATTACATATTTAATTCTTAATTAGTAGGGAATTCAATAGCAAACAATGTTTCAAAGCTTGGATGACCTCCTAAACTTTGCTGCATCTCGGGTACATAATCCATAAATTAATAAGAGGTTCGCTATCATCTGTTATGGGTTGTTACCGACCCTATGGAAGCATAGGAATGCGGGGCAATTTCAACATGTATTCACACATACAACTAAAATAGGGGATAATGTAAAATAATTAGTATTTTTTTTGGCTTAAACACATGGGTGAATTGGGTAGTCCTAAGTGGGAGGATTGGATGCACTCTCCCTTTTGTTCCATGTGATGTTTTGTTTCTCCTTGTACTCTATTTTTCATCTCCTCTAGCTGCTTGTTGGCTGGGCACATGAGAAGTTTTATAAATTTACCATTTAAAAAAAAAAATAACACAATTATACTGTAAAAGCATTATTATTTCATATTTAATGGCAATTAGTTAATTTCTAACAATATATATTTTGAATTCAATTTTCAACCTCGATAATCAAAATTTAATTATCTTTTAAATCATACAACAACCTACGAACCAAACGCTAATACATTATTTTGAATATCGTATAATCTTTTAATAATTTAACTAGTAATTTTATTCTTGCGCGAGGCACAGGCGTTCGCCTAATATTACTATAATTTTGTAATTTTTTCGAAGACGTTACTTGATAAAAACACTAAAATATAAAATGTTATTATAAAATGAAGTTAAATTATATTTTTCTATTATATACAAAGAAAATTAAAGGTACACTTGTATATTTTGTTAGCTTACTATTTGATTGAATTGCATATAGTTACACTTTATTTATATCACAAAATTTATTGATTAAATTTCTGCAGCAATACAGTAACTTCAAACCATTATTATCAAACAAATGTCACAATGTTATTTCTAATATAAAAGATATATAATCCGCCGCTTAGTATTTTTATATGGTAAAACCAATTCTCTAGAAGAGTGCATCTATATATCCAAGAGATATAACATTGTATGATCCGTTGTATTCTACTAGAAATAATATTGTTGTCCGTTTACTTTCTCATTCGTTGTACGATGATAACTAAGATGTATTCTTAGTTGGATGTAATAATCCAAAAAAAATATATTTCAATATTTGATAACACTTTTAGTCCCTGGCTAACCAAATATAAAAAGAAAAAGACATGGTAGATATGTGACATTGTCAAATCAAAATACAAAATCATTTTGAGTTTTATATAGACAAATGCAGCATGCATAATTGTATTTTAATTAAGATAAAACAAACACAAACAAAAGTCTTACTAAAACACAAACAAAAGTCTTACTAAACAATAATAAAACAAAACCAGCTATCAAATATATATTTAATTTTCAATCAAAGATAGTGATTTTATTTTGAGATTAGATTAAAAATGTGATCAGCTATATTTTGAGCATCCATGGCAGCTCCATATAGGCCTCGTCTTGCAAGCCCAACACAATAAAGGCCATTCTCTCCTTTCCAATGGTTTGGAAATATTAGTTTTGGTAGTCCATCTTTCTTTAAAAGACAATCATATCCCTGCATTTTTCAAAATAAAAAAGATCTTATTTATTGATTTGTTATAGTATCTAATTTTTACTTTTCCGATTAGAAATTTATAGTTTGAAAATTTTATTCAATTATAGCAATATTACCAAAAATATAGCCATTTTCACTACTATAGTTAAACAACTTAAAATACAAAGTCATAACTGTGTAGAGTTTTCTAAACCAAATCCCTTATCATGAAAAAATATATATATAATTTTGTAATAAAAAATAAATGAAAATATGATGGCTACAAAAAAAAAAAAAAAAAATAATAATAATAATAATAATTACATGATGTTGCTTACATTTAACTACTAAATATTTGACTTTTAACTAAAATCGTTATAACTTTATAACTGTACTAAATATATTACTTTTAATTAAAGTTAAGTCAAACTTGATAAAAATATCAGCAGCAATAAAGACATGATTAAGACGATTCACATTTTTTTTATAACAAATTGTTATGGCCTTAGTATTTTTGTCACCATTTGATTATTTATGTTAATTTACTGAATTAAAGATAAATAAACCTAACAAAATTGTAATGTTGTGAACTTATAAAGCTATAAATATGAAAGTTACCAGTGACTAGTAACTAGTGAGTGGTCTTTTGTTGGGATACGAAATTGGAAAACCATTTACCTGAAGCCATAAATGGGTTGATCTTTTAAATCCAGTAGCAAACAAAATTACATCAAATTGATGGCATTTCCCATTCTCAAAAACAACCTCATTTCCTCCACCTTTTATGCTTCTTAAAGCAGGCAATACCTGTTTGTTTACATCATCCAATTAGTATTGAATCACTCTCAATCATGTTGTAACAACCACATACATAAGTATATAATATAACTTGTTAATTATGAAAATTAAGAAACCATACATATACATACATACATACCTGTATCTCACGAGATTTTATATTTTTGAAGGTGCCAACATTGATGATAGGGTATTTACCATCTCTTACTTTAAGAAAAAAGGGCCTTCTTTCGGCCTTTGGATCCCGTATTTTGTTAGATCTCCATACGTTAACTTACTCAGCAAAACCAACAACGAATCCACCAAATATGACGGTATGAACTTCAATAACATCAATCCAAGATTTACCGACCATCTTGACACTATATGAATCTACATCACCAACATATACTTACAATATAAAAACCATTATTGTATATAATAATATAAATTGATGCAACAAATACAAATATAAAATTGTATGTATATTATAGTAAAAATCGTGACAGCTAAAATACATGTAACGAGTATTAACTTGAACCATAACGTGTTAAAATTATGTCATAGTATCAAATAACAATATTTATAGGGGGGTAGAATATTAATACCAATAAAGATGATAAATTTATACCATTGACCTAAAACGAGTTGATTTTAATTATTTCAACATGTTAAATACATAAAATAATAAAATTAACTTAAAATTAAACGGTCAGGTTCGATGTAAGTTGCTAGAGGAATATTGTACTTTTATAGGGCTGGCAATTCTCGACATGACATGCGACACGACCCGCAACACGACACGAAATAAATGGGTTTGGGTTGAGTTTTTCAACCCGCCAACCCGCTAACCCGTCAACCCGCCAACCTGTTTATTAAACGGGTCATATATGGGTTTCTCAAAAAGTAAACGGGTTGACCCGCCAACCCGTTTATATTCTTAATAAAAAAAATTTATATTTTTAAATGTATTTATGTATCAAGTATTAATATATAATAAGTATTATATAATATATACAATTTATTCATAGACCATTTGATTGTTTTGACATTATTATTCGTGATGGATGGTTTAAGGTCATAAATCGTAACCTATAAGGCTAAGTCTGTAGCATGTTTCTATGAATGTTTTTAATTTTCATTTGGATGTTTAAGACTTAAATATCTAAAATTTAGACCCACGAACCCAAATCTGACCATAAACCCGCCAACTTTTGAATCCGTATAAATAAATGGATTGGTGGGTCATATATGGGTTTATGTTCCAAACCCGCCAACCCGTGACCTGTATAGTTAAATGGGTCGTGTTTGGGTTGGCATATTTTGACCTACCAACCCGCGACACGCCAACCCGAACACGACACGATTGCCAGACCTATACTTTTATGCTTATAATCTCGTAAATCCTTTTAATAAAAGTTGGATAATAACCGTAATAATATAATTATTCTGATATCCTATACAAATTCAATTGGACAACCAACTCTGAAAAAGTCAACTTGAGATAAATATATTATTATTACCATTATTATCTAGTTGTTATTTAATCGGATTTGACTATTACTAAAAAAAGTCAACGCTGTATTTGCAACGAAAAACTAAAACTCTGCAAAATTATGTTCAAACTAAAACACGCTTTTTCCCTCACAAAATCAGTAAATATAAATAAAAGCTTATAATTACCGGACTTCGGACAACAATGGAGGTTTTTGCACCATGGTTAGCTAGATCAAGTGCAATTTCCATGCCGGAATTTCCAGCTCCAACGACCAAAACCTTCTTTTTTTCGTATATATCGCCGGATTTATATTCCGTTGAATGAATAACTTCACCTTTAAAATCACTCAACCCTTCTACCTCCGATATAAAAACATGGGAAAATGACTTAAAAACCCAACGAAGTTTCCAAACCGTTTAAAAAACCCCAATCATGTTTTGTCTGTTCAAAAAAACCCAACAAACTTAACATTTTATCTAAAAAGCCCAACTAAGTTACACTTTCTCGAAAGTCAAATAAGAGATACAGATGACGTGGCTTATTAACGTATCGGAAAAATGACTTGTTAGACCAACGAAGTTTCCAAAACGTTTAAAAAACTCCAATTATGTTTTGACGGTTCAAAAAAAAAAACCCAACGAACTTAAACAAAACAAAATTGGAATTTTTTGAACGGTTTGAAACTTTGTTGGATTTTTTAGACAAAAGGTTAAGTTCTTTGGGTTTTTTTGAACAGACAAAAGATGATTGGAGTTTTTTGAATGATTTGGAAACTTCGTTGGGCTTTTAAGTCATTTTCCCTAAAAACATCGCTGGTTTCTCCGGTAGCCACAACCAAAAACCTCCCCTCATAACATCGTACCTCCTCCTCCGCATTCTTACCACCAATTCTCTTCGCCTCCACATTCCATCTCTTTCTATCTTCGTTGTACTTCGCAAACTGCACGAGGTTCCCGAAGATAGGCTTAATATTGAAATGAGATGCGTAATCATCCAAGTATTTCAAGAAATCGGCTCTAGAGACATAAGTTGGTAAACTTTCAGGAAAAGGGAAGTGAGGAAGGTGACATAACCTTTTGGCTAAATGGAGGTGAAGTCGATGATATGATTTCTTGTTAAATAATGAAGCAATACAGTCTTCCCGTTCAAGGATTCTGTATGGAATTGAGAGTTGGTACAGGCAAGCAGCAGTGGCGAGGCCGGATGGACCAGCGCCGACGATGATCACCACCGTTTCTTCAACACGGCTATTCATTTTCCTGCCGACGATCGATGGAGATCTTGACTTTCTAATAAAGTCTCTCTCTCTCTATCTCTCTCTCTCTCTCTCTCTATATATATATATATATATATATATATATATATATATATATATATATTATATATATATATATATATATGCACACTAGATGTAACAACCGTGAATAAAATTTTGAAATAAATAATAAATTAGAAACATATTAATTTAAATTTATTATAATATTTATTATTTGACTTTATATATATATATATATATATATATATATATATATATATATATATCACCAGTTTTATCTTCTAATTTAGCATAAGAAGCAAACTTTCAGTGGTAATCACGAGGATATATATATATATATATATATATATATATATATATATATATATATATATATATATATAATCAACACTAAATGTTTTCACAACTACATATATCCTCGTGATTACCACTGAAAGTTTGTTTTCTTATGCTAAATTAGAAGATAAAACTGGTAATATATATATATATATATATATATATATATATATATATATTAAAAGACCAGGAAACTTCTCTCCTTTATAATTTTATAACATATTTTTATTTTTTATAATTTTGTCACAAAAATTTCAAAAACTTTTATTTTTATAGTTTTGTTACTTTACTTTTACTTATTTTTATTTTTGCAACTAAACTTTCACTTTTACTTCTCTACAACCCTTTTTCTTTATTTTTTATCATTTTCGTTTACCATATTGTTCTATCCTTTATTTTATTTTTTTTTTCTAAAAGGATTCAGTTGTTACTTTTCTCACGTGTTTTTATATTTTTCTCAAAAGTCCTCCGTTTTTTTAATTCATTTAGAGGTTTGTCTTTCATTTTTCAAGATTATTCTATTTTGATACTTTTTTTCTTTTTATTATCAATCCGAACTTTTTAACATTCTCACTTTTTTTCTAAAAAATTGCTAAATTCAATCAATTTTCTTAATTTTTTTTAATTTTCGTCTATCATATTATTCTACCATTTTTTTTTCTAAAAAGAATGATTCGTGCAACGCACGGACCTTTTCCTAGTTTTAATCAAAGCTTCAACCATAGGGGTATTTATACGGGTGGTTGAAGGAAGCACCTAAGTTGTGAATGTCAGTGAAGGTGTGAAGGCTGATCGGTGGTGAGTTTTCAATGATGGTGAAATTACAATCGTTGTGGTAAGGTTAAAGAGAATGAGAAAATGGAATATATTTGTTCATAGATTTTAGGCTGAGAAAAAAGGGAAAATACCGCTAATAGACAAAAAAAAGGGGGCCAATTTAAAAATTTAGTCATAAAAAATGACTTTTCCAGTTATAGATACACATTCCGTAAAGGATCCTCTGCGAACCTCCGCGGATCGATTTTTCCTCCGCGGATTCAGAAAAGGTGACATTTTTTATTGTTTAAAAAATTGCTCCGAGGGGTCCTCTGTAGAGACATTAACCCCTCCACTGAGTGAGTTGTTAGCAAGGCTTTTAATCCCTCTGCAGAGGGGATGACGAGGAGCTCCACGGAGAGATTAATGCCTGCATGGAATGAGTGGTTGACACATTTTTGGACAGATTTTTTGATACAAATGTTGTTTTCTCATTTTTTTTTTGTATCTCCATTTGTGTTCAAATTTTTTTAGTGTTACTAATTTGTTTTCAAAAGAAATATGAGTTTTGTTATTTTATGTACTGGGGGTTTTTGGCAGATAAGTAATTGGGTTAACACCTACGTTAGACCTAAGTTTAATAAGGTATACTGCTTCCGCCAAATTTTGATCATTGAATATTGTTTGATTTGGTCAAAAGTAAGGCTAATTTGCTCAATAGTAATATATCATTGTCATTTCAACACCTGGTTCATGGGTATGTTCTGAATATTGTAGACAAAGCAGATGTTCATCATGTCATAAATGTAATTTCTGAAACAAAGGCGATTGTGCATTTGTATTTGGAGGTGTTTGAGGGATGGGCCGAACCGACATAAGTCGTTGAGAAGATTATACCATACAATGTTGAAAACATTGTATCTGATAATGTTGAAAACATTATATCTGATAATGTTGAAGAGTATCCAGAACAAGAAACTATTGCAGTGGATATAATGGAAGAAGAAAATTTATATGAGCTTGGAAGACTAGCTGACAAAACTTTGTCAGATGGTGAAGAGTCAAATGAAGGTTGGTCAGAAGATGTGTTTACACACGGGAAAAAAGCTTCAGACATATTTTACGGTATGCCTCCCATACCTGATTGTCCTGATCCTATTGTCGATCCCGGACCATTTCACAGTTTACATCCAAATGATGAAATGTTTGTTCGTCAAATGTATGATAACAAACAACAACTAATATTTGCTTTGAGTCTTAAAGCTACCAGAGAAAAGTTTCAGTTTATGACCAACCATTCTAACAAAAATTATTATGAGGTACATTGTGAAACTAAGAACTGTAGTTGGCGTTTATATGAAAAACGCATTGTTCCTACTCATCAATTTGAAATCAGGACTTTCAACAACGTGCACACATGTTCGTCATTACAGATACACCCTAATCATAAGCATGCTAATAAAAAAGTCATGGGTACTATATTGCATGAGATTATGGGAAAAACTCATTCCAAGGTTTGGAGGCCTAATGAAATATCAAGGGATTTGAATGCTTTGATGGAAATCAATGTAAATTACAAACAAGCTTGGCATGCAAAACAACATGCTATGGAATTGTTGTTGGGATCCTCTGAGGAATGTTTTTCCAAACTTCCTATTTATTTTCACAATTTGAAGAGGCATAATCTCGGTACAGTGGCCTATATACAAACAGATTCTAAAGATTGTTTCGATCATTGCTTTTATGCTATTGGGAGCACGGTAATACAAAAACTTGTTGCTATTTAATATACAATTATTTGTAAAAAATTGTAGAGTGTTTATGTGCTCCATTTTAATATATTGCAGATACGAGCGTTTAAAAGTTTTTTTTTTCATAAAGTTATAATTATGGATGGTGCGCATTTGAAGGGTGATTTTAAGGGAACCATATTGCATGTAGTAGCTATGGATGGAAACAACCAGATAGTGCCCCTTGCGCACGAAATATGCAAAAAAAAAAGAGTGGTCTTATGTCACACCCCGCTAAAGCGGAAACACGAGGCGTGGCAGTATAAAGGGTTTCATAGCAAAAGTTAAAAGACAACACCAACCATAGAATTAAAAATCATTACAAATTTACAATGGGTTTGAACAACTTTTACAAGAAATTACAATGAAAAATAGATATACAACACATGCGAATGCTCCTAAAAGTGAAGTGTCCCTAAGTGCCACTTACTCGATGATTCCTGAAAAAACATGTAAAACGAGCGTCAACTATAAAAATAGTTGGTGAGTACTCACAATTTTAACAAAATAATATTGGTTCATGAGTTGAAATCAAAGTTTTGATAAAAGTTTCCAATAATAAAAGTATATTGCTAGGAGTAAATAAGTTTGTAACACAGTTCGTTTTATCATGAGAAATAAAGTATATTGCCCGAATAAGATGCAACATTCATATTTTCATGGAAGATAAAGTTCGTTACTCAAACGAGTAAACAAGTTTCATTACTAAAATGAGGTGTCAATTTCGTTGCTACAAGGAGCAAACAATTTCATTGCTAAAACATGTATATAAGTTTCCACTAGTAAAAGTTCGTTGTTGTAATGAGAAATAAAGTTCATTGCTATAATGAGAAACAAAGTTCATTTCTTTAATCAGAAACAAAGTTCATTGCCATATTAACAAACAAAGTTGATTGCTATTAATGAATACAAGTTTATTGCTATAACGAGAAACGAGTTTGTATGTGTATGAGCAAACAATGAGTCTCAACCAAACCTATGACTGAAGCCCTATCGATATCTATGCTTATCGTTCCATAGATGAATATGGTATAATGCACTCCAGCGATTCGGGCGAGTAAGGAGTTGTCAATTCCTAATAGCGCTATCCATAATGACCATTGGCTCAAAGAGTTAATGGTTAGAGATAACGGAAGGGCCTTAGTACGATAAGTTCTCATGTTCCGTGTTGCATAGACATACATAAAGAAACATAGCAATACAATAGCAATCATGTTTGATAATAATCAATTTAAATACAACATGCAAACAGTAGTTTTTATGGACATGCTTTTCCACCCCAAAACATAAAAACCGAAAATAGGGGAATGCGTGAATACTCACAATATGCATTGAGATGATGCAATTTGTAACATCCCAGAATCGCAAGAGTAGAGTTGAAGGGCTAAAAGTGTAAGTTTTGGAGGGCAACTCGGCGAGTCCATGGATGGACTCGGCGAGTCAAGTCGCGACTTTGGTCGCGTGTCAAGTGGCCTACTCGGCGAGTCCAAAGATGGACTTGGCGAGTAGGTGCTGAGTGGAGAAAACCCTAATTCTCGGGGTTGAGCCCTATATAAAGAGCATTATGTTTCCTCCCAAGCCTCTTTATCACCCCCCTTAAGTCCCAGAAACCCTAAAATCGTGGAGAAGCACCATTGTTGAGTAGATTGGAGCTTGGAGAAGTAATTGTTGAAGAAAGTTTGGAAATTTGAAGGTGTGGAACAAGGGGCTTTGCTTGGTTTCGAGTTCCTTGCAGATTGGGGCATCCTTTGAAGGTAAAATCTTGTTCTTGAGCTGCTATTGTCTAGATTCTTCACTTTTGGGGATGATGAGGTCACATCTTTTGGTGTTTTGGAGTCTAGAGGTTAGATCTGAGGTTGCTACCTCAGATCTGGAATGGAGAAGGGTTGGAATGCCTGAAAGTCCCTGTGATTGAGTATGTAGTGAAGTTATCTTGTCCCCAACTTTAGCCCTAATGAGTATAATGCCTAGATCTTCATGGATTCACGTAAAGTTTGCCACTTTACGTGATGGATGGGTTGTAGGAGGCTAGATCTATGTTTTGGATCAATTGCATGGCCTAGGATGTTTCTGTATGGATTCAGACCGGTGGTACTCGGTGAGTCACAAGGGTGGACTCAACGAGTTGCTTGAAGATGAGCTAGAACTCGACGAGTTGGATGAACAACTCAGTGAGTAGGTTGAAGATAGCCTTAGACTCGGCGAGTCTGTTCTTGGACTCGGCGAGTCTTATCGAAGAGTCCCAATAATTTCTGGTTGATTCAAGAATCGGTGAGTCAAGGGATGACTCGGTGAGTTGGGTGCGAGTAAACTCAGAGTGGTTGGACTCGGCGAGTCTCGGGGTGACTCGGCGAGTCAAGTCGCGGATTGAGGAAGTTCTGAACTTGGGGACTCGGCGAGTCATGGGGTTGACTCGGCGAGTAGAGTCAGTCAGGGGTTGACTTTGACCTTGTCCAAGGGTTGACCAGTTGTCTTCCAGGGGTATTTTGGTAAATAAGGGTATATATTGAATTGAGTGTTTTGGCGTTCAGTGGAGGAGTTCGTGTCGGAGTTCGGAGCAGCGGGATCTTATCCTTACAGCTGGCAGTTTCAAGGTGAGTTATCCTCACTATATCAACAGGGTCTAAGGCACCAAGGCCGACCCTTTATTGGATTGAGATTCGGATATGGTTATTATGTTATTGTTTGATACGTCTACATCCTGGTAGCTAGGATGGTATATGTTGGAGACCTAGTTAAGGTCCGTTTCCCAATATGTAGAGTGATGCTATACTAGTGACCGGTTAGGTCGGTAACCTGGTTAGGGTGATGATATGCTATGTGATCTGCTTGCTCGGTTTGTTGACTATGACTATTATATGATTGTATGTTATGTGCACATGGTTGTTTGGACTGGAGATGGGTTGAGGCGGGTCCTGCTTTGTGCTGTAGGCCAAGATACCCAGGGCAAACCGGTTATTCCGAAGGCCTAGCGAGCGGTCCGGATAGGCTGAAGGCCCGATGCGGGCGGACTAGTCACGTTGTAGACTCAGAGAGTGGACCAGATGGGTTGAAGGCCCAGTGCGGGCGAACCAACCACACTTTAGACTCGAAGGACATGATTAGACTCGGAGGATGGATCCGATGGACTGAAGGCCGGATACGGCGGACCAGTCACACAGTAGTCCCGATATGCATGGCTGTTCTATGTTCTGTTATGTTATGTCTGTTTTATATGTTATGGGCCGGAAGGCAATGTGTTTGGGACCGGAAGGTCGTCGCTTAGAAAGGCGTATATGTGGTTGGTATTTTGGGGGTATCTCACTAAGCTTTCGGGCTTAAAGTTGTGGTTTAATGTTTTTCAGGTTCTTCAGGAGACTGTGGCAAGGCGAAGGCGTGATCGTACCGCTCCTCATGATTTTGTAGCAATGTGATTCTGGGAATACTCTAAAATGATTTGTATTGAAAACCTTTTTGTAAACGATTTAATGAAATCGGGTTGTTTTTGAAAATTTTAAATTGATTGTATTTTTCGGTCGTTACACAATTGGTGCCTTTACTATGCTCCACTCGTATCACTATCGATTCCTACAATAATGGTATTCGCTAGTGAGTCTCTAATCAAAATCTAACACTAGTATACATAGTACTACAATAGAATTATGCCAATATTGTGTCAAAATTTAATATCGATAAGTTACAAACATTTTTCTGTGGAAATTAAGTTTCAAAGAATCAATTGTTATATAACAATTTAAGTGGAAAATTTCCATTATTGAAATGTTAATATTTAACATTTTAGAGGTATTCCAATGGTTAAATATCCAAAACTAAATCAATTTAATTCTAAAATATCCCAAACTTTGCATTTCAGTTTTAATTGAAGTCAAAGACCTCAAGATAAATTTTCTTGAATTTTTGAGTTGTCTAACTATTTTTCACCGTTTTATTTTCTTGAATAACCATAAATTCATGAAAAATAGTAATGAGTGAAGAAAATTCCCCAAACTTTTTATATTAGTGTTATTAAACATTACTAAGCAGGAAAAAATATAAAAATGGATTTCCAAGATGTTTAATTATATTTTATGATTTTTGAGCATTTATTCCAATAAAAATTGAAATAAATAGAAAACAATTTCCAAAATTACCCAAACTTTTTATTTAACTGTTATTATACGTAACTAGGCTGGGAAAAATATAAAAGATATTTTTCAGTGGGTATTTCTATTTTTCCTTGTTTTATTCCTTTAATTCATCATTAATCGAAGAAATAATATTAAACAGTTAAAATAAATTACCAAAAATTTTTATAACATCATTTACAGTATAAATAACCTGGGAAAAATACCAAAAGTGGTTTTCATATTGTATAATCCGGTTTTGGGTATTTATGTGTATTTAAGTGCAATTAACTTTAGAAAATAAGAGAAAATAGTTTACAGTAGAGAAAAACCCTCAATATTTTTATGTAACCTCCTACTATACAATATGATGTTCTGGTAAATTTTCATGAATTTTGGATAATCAGAACTATTTTTCCTAGTTTTAGACCATTATAATTACCAAAAATTGGGAAAAATAGTAAGGCATGATGAAAAAATTTGAAATTATTTTTCTGAGTCACCCATCACAATTAAGGTATGCGAAAATTGTTAGATAAAATTTTCACACTCTCTAAAGTGGTTTTGTGATTTATTATACCCTAACAAAAAGAAAATCGGAAATCATACCAAACAACAACAAAAAGGGATCAAATTTAGTAAGGGGTCATTATTCATCATAATGGTCATCCATGAATTTATTCCGGATTTATTGACCTATGGAAGTATTTTATGTGATTTATGCCCTTGGTTTTAGCAATAATTTTAATAAATCAAAGAAATAATAAAAGCTATTGGTATTTTACAGATTATCACATGCATGTGAGGGCTTTCAAAAGGAAAAGTGTTCAAAGTTTATTAAGAAGAGAAATAGGGGTAATGAACCCAAACAAGTTAAGAAATGTTGCATGCAAT